CAAGGTCAGGGATGGGTCCAGGTCAGAGATGGGCACAGTCATTGCAGTGACTGGAGCTTGCTCAGGTCAAGGCCAGGTGTAGTGGACTCTGTGACATCCTCGTAGCCCTCATCCTGCCCCTGCCCCCCATGGATTACGGGCGCTCTTATCCTGGTTAACCCTCCAGATTTAAACTCAAATCCTTGCAGCTCAGGCAGATCATTAACCCTTCCCCTGCCTTGGAACACACATAGGTGACGCCAGGATTTTATAACAACATAAATGTCCCCTCCAGCTCACCGTCCATGAGTTCACATTGGAGGTGACCTGCGTGTTTGTCAGCAGAGGAGGAATATAAAACAAAATCCTTTAAAATAATCTATTTAGAAACAACACAAGGCAGCTGCTGAATAATAAAAGGATTTGATTTGATTACCTGCCCAGCCATGATAACATTCCTGTATGAAACAAACAGCAGTGACTCCCGCCCCAGCTCTGTATAAAGCTGCCTCCATCAGCCGCAGGGCATGAGATGAAGGCAGACCTCTGAAAGCACACATGCAGCATCCCTCATAGTGCTGCTGAGATTTTTACCAGTGGTAGCAGAACTAAAAATCTCAGCATGGCCTTCACGCCTGAATGACGTCCTAACAGCTATGACTATAGGCTATGTTTATATCATGCCCATGACCCGGTAACTCCAGACATGCCACCTCAGGAGGACACAGGGGGCTGAACTGAGAGGACTAAATCTTCATGGGGGGGTCGCATTATGTCTATTGAGGGCCACACATACTTAATTCCAGATAAAGATTATGGCGCTTCAAAACGTAACATTATAGTAAAAAACGCAATTCACCATATTTAATCCCAGAGAAAGGAAAGAGGGGGAAGGAGGGGGGGCATAAAACATTTCCTGAACTATTAAGCGGCAGAATGATGTAAGGAAGAGCCATTCACCAGGCGAAGAACATCTGGGGAACATTCAGGTTTTTATCCTTAAATCTGAGCTCCGGGATCAGTAAATATTGATGAAACAGACGCGCCATGTGTATTCTTGAATCTTGGAGACCCTGAAGCACGGGTGCAGGTACCACACCCCCAATGGACCAAAAATCAAACCATGAAAGAAGGATGGGGCCTTAAGGGGAATACAAAAATCATGATCTATATATATTATAAAACATAATTTTTGTTTTTCATACAATTAAAAAAAACACACAACATCCACATAGTTCCTTCTGCACCTGCGTTACCAGTAAACCGATAGTCTCTTCTAGGAGCAGCACCATCAGTAACTCCCTCTTTTGTCCTATATCAAAATGATGAGTCCATCAACATGAAGACTTGTTGCGTTTGACTTGTGTGGGGTGCTGTGCTGGTTTACCGCTGACGCGTTTCGCTGTATTAGCTTCCTCAGGTGAGAGGCACTCACAAGCCATTTGAATCATGCAAGAACATCTGATAAAACCAATGGATGCCACCGCCATGGGTGGGGGGAACCACAGGAGGGGGT